TTGGGGAACCCAGGGGCCAAGGGGAGAGCACTATTTGGGCCCGGGAAGCCCAAGTTGCCCAACCTCTTCGACGATTTGGAGATTGTTGACGAGGGGCCCATCAAGGCCCAACTGCAGGCCGTGATCCACTCCGCGTTGGATACAGGCCCGTGGGACAGTGAGGTGCACGAAGGCATCGACATGGAATGCGCTCGTCGCCAGCGGCTGGGCTCGGCTGAGCAACTGGCGAAGTGGAAGGAGTGGGCCAAGAAAGCTGTTGCTGGAGGGGGTAAGGCTGCTCGCGCCTTTTCCAAGAACCAGGTCACGAGCATCTGCCCGGGGGGTATCGCGGGTGATTCTCGGCTTCCAGTGGCTGGGCAGTCCGCCCTTCAGCAGCTGCTAGATGCGTGGCGCCCTATGCGGCTCCGAGCTGGGCGCGGCCCTGCTCCCAGCACCTTGGGGGCCTTAGCCGAGGAGCCCGACCTGTCCCCGCTCAGACTGGAAGACATATTTCGTGCATGTATGAACTGTGGGCCCTCGGCGGGCCTCGGATGGGGCGGCATTCGCCCGCGGCGGGTGCTGCAGCCTCTTGAAAGCCACCAGTTTCGCCTCCTGAAGATCTGGCGCTCTTCAAAGTGGACCCTGGGGCTTTTATGAGGCTCCTCACCTATGTGGTTTTCTGGGCAAAGCATCGGGTGGAGTCAGGCCCAGAGGGCTACTATGTTTCTCCATGGAGATTTGGGGCCGTCTGAGGCAACCATATTGTCGCTCATGGGAGAAGTCCGTCGTGTTCGAGTTTGTCTGGGGCTCGGGCCCCGACGCGACATGCCACCGGGCTGGTTGGGTTGATAACTTGCTTGGTGCCCGCTGTCGAGAAGCTGGTTTCGGGTCTGCGTCGGCGCTTCTTGACGTGGCCAAGTTCTATGAACATGTACGAGCACCTGCTAGCCGTAGCTGCTTAGCTATACGCTTTAGGTCCCCCGTGCGGTTGATCCGAGGCTACTGCTCCATCTATGCTGCTGGCTTCCGTGCGCTGCTGTATGAGGGTGCTGCGTCTGCCGTCGGGTCAAACGATGCGAGCGTCGCGGGCTGCTCGGGGGCCACCACCTTTGCCAAGATGCTGCTGCTGGGGCCCTAGATGGAAGCTCGCGAGAACAGAAGTTTGCTGTATGTGCGCAATGCGGTCGGCGATATTACAGTTCAGAGCTGTGGACCCAGGATTCAGGTTGTAGCTCTGTTAGCAGGTGCCGCCGAGTCGCTTTTTCAAGAGTTTCGGGCAGCTGCAGCTGCCAGTGGAGTTCAAGAAGTGCGCCTACCTCTGCTCGAAGGAGGTTGATAAGCTCCTCTCCCACGCTTGGCCCCCCCCCCCCCCCACATCGTGCAGGACGGACGCGACGAGGAACCTAGGCACTAACGCGACTCTGGGAGGCCTGCGCAGGGTCGGGATCCAGAATGCCAAGGCCTTTACCACATCGTCTCGGGCCAGGAGGTTGACGCTTCTTCAAGGAGCGGGGGCGGACATCGGGATGGTCCACAGGGTGGGGCCAGTGGCGTCGGCCCTCTGGGCTCTTCGGTGTTTCGGTCGGGCTGAGAATGTACGCGTACGGGCTTGGTTCCAAAGTGGACCCCCTGGTGATCTACTCGGGGCGCGTCATTTTCACGTGGGCCACAGAGGTCTGGGAGGCGGCCCCGCGCCATCAGGTTCTGGCCAGCGGCACGATGCGGGCCTCGATTGACAAGTTCCAGTGTTCGGCCCAGCCGTGGAGGTCAGCGCCCTCCCCTAGCGACGTTGCCCTGCTCATTCTGCGGGGGCTGGGCTGGGACTTCGTTGACCAGCACAGGGTCGGAGACAACTTGAATGCGGTACGCGATCTGTTCAGGCTGCCCCCGACGCAGGTCGGGGCCCTCGCCAGGCACGGGGCGGTGAGAGCTTCAGACCGACGGGCGCTGCAGTTGCAGAACGGCCCTGGCCCCCCCTCTCCTGGGGCGGGATCTCCAGGATGTTCAGGGCGAAGTCGGAGGTCCGAGGCAAGCGTCGCCAGAGGTGCCTTCGAGGATTGGTCTCGGGAGTCCATTGGCCTCGAGCACGTTCGCTCGCGCACAACCTGCACGGCAGTGGGATTTGACAGTTGCGCAGAGGCGCGCCAGGCACCCTGTGGCACTGTTAGTACGAGTGCCCAGCTCATGCCGTTCAGCGTCGGGATCTAGTTAGTGATCGACTGGGCGCTTGTGCGCAGAAATTGAAGGAACTAGGCCCGCTGGTGGCAGAATGGCTCGCGAGGTGCATCTCCCCCCGCCCCGGCGGCCTCTTCGACGTCGAGGAGCCCACCCAGACGGTCCACTGGTTCCAGCGGCCCGAGACGGGCCTTCTCTTTGGGCTGCTCTTCCTGGGCGGGTCGGCGAAACACATGGGCCTCGACGGGCTCGCCAAAGCTGGGTGGAGTATAGTCTCGGTCGACAGATTTGGGAACGCGGTGTCGGCGGCGCACGGACCTGTCCCTCTGAGCATGGCCCCGCAGCCGACGAGTAAAGACGGGGGGAACTTTGCCGTAAATATGTTGTCGCAAGTAGGTCTTCCCCCGTTTCAGTGCTACATCGATTGCCAGAACACTTTGGACTCGCTGGCGCGTGGTCCTGGTTTTTCTGAGGGCTCGGGCCCATCTCTGGGGCCCCGTGTGGTCTGCGTTTGCTCTCAGTGATTTCGAGTACCACAAAACGTTAGGCCATGCGACCGCCGCCGGCATTGAAGCTGGCAGAAGCACCGAGTGGGATCGTCGGACCAAAGGACACGCTGATGAGTGTGTTTAGTTAGGAGCTGACTGTCATGGGGTCAGTGACGGCGACGCGAATGTGTACAGGGGTTTGCGTTGCCTCGCCCGCCAAGCGTGCAGGTGGGCGGGGAGCGTCGAGGTCAGCATGTCGGGAAGGCCCCGCGACACCGCAGGTCTTGCGCAGCGCCCGCCAGGCAGCGATGGCCATCAGCAGCAGCCCTCGCTCGAGGATGCTGCGGAAGGCCAGGCCCTGGCAGATGATCAAAGGGAGGGTAGAGGGTCGTCGGACTTGGGGGAGGAGTGGGTTTCGTTCTCTCGGCAAGTTTTTAGGGCGAACGGTCACGCGTTCCTGGCCTGCCCTGTCTTTGAGCCTCCTGGGAGAGTAGGATCCAGTTCTGCTGCAGGTGTGGATCGTTTTTTTTCTCGGGGGCCCCCGAGGGTCGTGTCGGCCAACATTTTCTACGGACGGGCTCTCTGACCAGCTGAGAAGGATACGGCTGGGTCGTTTCCCGTCTTACAAGAAGGACCTGAAGAATTTGACTCTGGGGGCCCATGGGGGCCTGAACCTTGCTGAACGCAAGGTCCTGGCTCAGACGCTGCTCGAGGATGGCCATCCCCCCCAGAGAGTCTCAGGTCCCTTGGCGGGTGTTTTTTTGCGGGGGGCTTCGCCCCACGAGAGCAGGTTTTGTGTGCTTTCGGCTTTTTCGAGTCGGATCTACCCTGGGTCAAGAGGACCTTGGGGCCGCCTCCCTCCGAGCCTCGTGCAACGGCGTCGAGTCAGATTCGGAAGCCTCCGACTTTGGCAGAGAGTTGTTGACGTGCTGGCTTCACGCCCGTCCCCAACAACCTCCTCCTCCTCCTCCTCCTCCTCCTCCTCCTCCTCCTCCTCCTCCTCCTCCTCCTCCTCCTCCTCCTCCTCCTCCTCCTCCTCCTCCTCCTCCTCCTCCTCCTCCTCCCTCTCCCCCTCCCCCCCTGCTTCCTCCCGCGCGGCCGCGGCTCCCGCCTCCCGGCCGCCGCGCTTCGCCCTGCCCGAGTGCCCGAGAGCGGCCGCGCGGCGCCTTGGGGGTCGGCGCGCGGCGAGCTGCAGTGCTCCTCACAGAGGGCTCGGTTGGTGGGCGGTTCCCACGCCTATCCCCCCCGCCCCCCACAGAGGAGGAACATGCACCCCTACTGCTACCCTTTGCCCGTTTTTCCCTTTTTCGCCCTCCTGGTGGACTCTCGTCGCCACCCCTGGATTCGCTCGCCATTTTGGCCAGAACGCACCCCGGGAGAGGTCCGGGGAGTAGCTGTATCTGTACGTTTTTGGTGGCAAGCCCTCAAGCATGTCCTTCGGCATAGGAGTTCCCCCCAGCCCCTGCTTGTCCTGGCTGATGCAAACGCTGCTCTTGGATCAGTCGTTTCCAGGGCGGTTTGGCCATACCACGCTGAGGAAGAGAACTTGCCGGGCGCCCTGTTCCACGACCTGTTGTTGACTTTCGACCTCTGTGCGCCCTCTACTCTTTCGCAGTCAGCTTCAGAACAATATGGGACCTGGCGTTCGCCAGCGAAGTCGTTGAGCGCGCGTGTCACACATAGAATAGACTATGTTGGGTTACCCCTGGATTGGCTCCCTCTTGTTCGATCACATCAGGTTGATGAGGAGGTTGACTTGACCAAGAGTATCGATGATCATTTTGCAGCCTCGGTCGTCATGCGTCTTCCTGTGATGACTACCATGGCCAAACATTCCTGGGCCAATCTTCGAGTTGATCCATCGCGTTATCGTGATCCCGATGCTCGAGAGCAGTTTATCCAGGCTCTGGCTTCGGTACCGGCCGTTGCGTTTGATATCCTACCGACCATGCGGCCATCTTCGATAAGGCAGTGGCTGATGCGGCCGTGGGTGCCTTTGCGCCCTCGGCTCGATGCACGTCTCGCGCTCCTCGCAAACCTTGGATCTCTTCCCGCACGCTTCAGTACATGGATTTGCGGGCAAAGCTCGTCCGGGCATCTCGAAAACACCTTCTATGTACGCGTCGATGCCGCTTGCACGCATGGTTTATTTTTTGGGCACAACCTGTCGGTCATGATTGGTTCTGCAGGCGCACACTTGCGTGGAGATTCTCATCGCGTGCCCCGACGTGCTCAGCCGCAGGTCAGCTCAGCGCCAATCGGGAGGCCTCCGCCAGGCAGGCCCTCATGAACGTCTAGTTAGACATCGTTCTGGCCATATGTGATTTCTTGCCGCAGGTGCCGCCAGGAGGTTCTCGGCTTGCCGATGTCCTTACACATGATGTTGCCGAGTTGATGGGGTATTGGGCCTCTCTCCCCACTGTTGCTTACCTGCATTTGCTTCCACGCGCTGACGTTGATTCTTGGGTCACGAGAACTTGGCATACCTGCATTCCCAACCTTCTTACGTTTATCGCTGGGCATGGGCATGGCTTGGCCCTGCGAGAATGGGGTATACAGCTTGCGCATTGTCTGGTTCTCCGGAGTACGAGCAAAGACTCAGCCCAGCACACAAGTGACCTGTGTATTCAACTCACGGACGCATGGTCTATTGGTCAGCACTCGCACGCCTTCAGCCTCTTGCGGCAGTGCGGCGCTGGCTCCAAAAAGCGGCTTAGCCAGAACCATTTGCCTATCCTTTTGAACGACAGTGGGCAACTTGTGGCTACCCAAGAAGAGGCTGGAGATACCTGGGTCAGGCAGTTTGCGCAGATGGAGCTCGCAGCTCGGATTCCTTGTGCGGATACGGCTACGCTGAATCATCCATTTGATATTACACCTTTCCGCTACAAGCTGGATCCCGCAGAGTGGCTTGAGGCCCTTCCCACCCTCCAGCTCTTCGAGGCCACCTGCAGCACGGCTCGCAAGTCAGCGGCTGGCTTGGACAAGATCTCCGGAGAGCTCCTGGCACATTTCGCCAGTGAGCTGGCTCGGGTGTATTATCCGCTGTTGCTCAAGACTACTCTCGTGCAAATCGAGCCGATATAATGGAAGGGTGTTTTTTTTATAGGGACTTGCTTAAGAAGGGCACGCTGGACCCAGCGATCCGCGACAACAGCCGATCTATCCTGGTGTCTTCGCATATCGGCAAAGCGGCCCGCAGATGCGTGTGTACCAAGCTTGTCTCCGCAGTGTCGCAGTTCGTTGGCCCTTTCCAGTTTGCCAGTCTTCCTGGTCGCGGTGCCACTCCAGCCGCCCTTATTGTGCGACAGATGCAGGATTTGGCTGCGGTTTCCAAGGTGTCCTTCGGGTCCCTCTTCATTGATGCCGCTTCGGCTTATTACCGAGCCCTGGGAGAACTGATCATGGTCACCGAGCTTTCAGACGAGAACATTGCGCGCATCGTTCAAGCTGCCGGGCTCCCGCCCGAGGCAATGCACCAGTTGGCCCAACAATTGAAACAGCAGATGCCGCTCCATGAGCAGGCGGGTGTTTCCAAGGCAGTGCAGGCCCAAATTTCTGAGCATTATCGGGCACCTTGGTTCACGTGCGCGTCCGCATCCACGTTGGCTTTTCCACAGCGTTCTCTTCTCCCAGGCCAACCGCTGGCTGACTTGCTATATGCGTTCATTTCGCGGACGTTTTCACGGAGATTGACGACGCTATGAAGGCGATGGGAATTGCGATGGCACTGCCTACGGATATGACTCGTTCTCTGGCTGCGCATCTGGCTGACCCTGCCCAGCTGGGAGGCAACGCTACTCTCAGCAACGTCGCTTTCGCAGACGACGGTACGCTACTTATCTTGTGCCCTGCTGCTTCCGTCGTGCTTTGCTTGGAGCGCCTGCTCGTGTTGGCGGCGGACAGCATGGCCAGAAGGGGCCAGGTGCTCAACTACAATCCGGGTAAGACTTCGGCACATGTCTCATTCCACGGCCCTGGAACTACTCAGGCGCGGCAGGACCTTTGGGTGCGGGACGGTGGAGTTCGGAAGGTTGTGTCTCACCTACTGGGCCCATTGGCGCTCAACTTCGTCCACACATATCAACATCTTGGAGGTTGGTGTGATGATAAGGGCTCCATGTGGCCTGAGGTTCTTTATCGTCGAGCTTCGCCCGGAACGTCTGCCAAAGCGTTGCAGAGGAAAATCTACGGCAATTCTGATGTTCACCTGCATGCCAAGATACATTTCACGGACAGCCTTGTGCTATCCGCCCGGTTGTTCAACGGAGGCGCCTGGCCTGATCTGACCTCGGCTGTTAAAGATTACGTGCATGCTGGCGCCATGCAGCTTTATCGTGCTGCTGCGAGGGGCTCCCTGGCGAGCGCCGGCCAGCACGTTACGGATGCGAGTGTCTTGGCGCAGGTGAACAGGCCGCTGCCTATGCTTGTATTGCGGGCCGAGCGACTACGACTTTTTGCTGTTCTCTTGGGAGGAGCGCCGCTTTCTGTTTTCGCTCTTCTCGGTCGCGTCTTCGTGTTGAAGGAAGCCATCCGTCAACGACTGCAGCTTAGTCGGCCGACTGTTTGGGCGCACCTTCTCTTCGATGACCTGCGTTGGCTGCAGCAGCACGTGCCCGACATGAGCGACCTCCCTGCTCTCCCTCAGGGTCTCCGTAAATGGGGGCACTTTATCCTCGAGTCCCTGGTTTGGTGGAGCGTTTGGTCCGCGCGGGCCTGGGAGCGGACGCTGCGCATCGGGCCAGGATCCAGCAGGCCGCTGCCGCTCAAAATGCAATCTTCCAGGGCCTCTTCGCTGCAGGCGTGCCGTCTCCTCAGTACCCCCTCAGCGTCACAAATGACCCCGTCCTGCCAGCACGCGCGCTGTCTGGCTCGCCCGCCCCGCCGCACGCGTGCCCATGGTGTCGGCAACACTTTGACAAACTACAGGGCCTTCGCACGCACATTTCCCGCGTACACCGTTAGCGTGCTCGATTTGCTCGTCGTTGGGCGCAGACCCTACCACAGTGCCAAGCATGCTTTCGTGTCTTTCATAATCGCGAGCTGCTCATCGATCACCTCTCTATTGATGCTCCAGTCTGTTTGGTGGTTTGCATCCACTTGGGCCCTGCCTCGAGCGCTCTGGACTTTGACGGTCGTGCTCCCCGCGTACATGCAAAGCTCCGGCGGCGCGCTGCCGTCCCGACCTTCAGGGCTCCCGGAATCCTGTCTAATTTGGCGCAGGATTTATTTCGGCACCTTGCTCCCGCTGAGGCCCGGGCTATCCCACTGGACTCAGACCCGGCGTTATCCGATGAGGCGAGGGCTCCTTTGACGGAGCCGCAGCTGGAGGTGCTTCCGCGGCCTGCAGATCCAGTCGAAGAGGCCGTCCCCGAACGGTACCCGTTGGACTTATTTCGTACGTCGGATTATTCTGGATCCATGGCCACTCGTTTTCCGGTCAAAGTCAAAAGAGTCGAGTTCTACATGGTGCATCTGTTTTGCGGGCGCCGACGCGATGGCGACTACCAGGCGCAGCTGGAATGGGCGCAACATGCGACTGATTTCACCACCGTGGTCCTGAGCGTTGACATCGCGATTGATGCTGACACATGCCATTTGAGTCATCCTGATTCCCTGGCCGTTTGGTCCCGCCATGTGCTTGCTCGTCGAGTTGTCCTCACTGGCGGTGGCCCTCCCGGCGATACTTGGTCTCCAGCGCGGTGGTTGGAGGGCCCTGGCCCGCCCCCACTTCGCACCCATGGCGCGTTCTGGGGAGTTTGCAATGCCACAGCACGGCAGGCACGGCAGCTCAACATAGGCAACACGCTGCTCATAGCTTTGGTCACCCTCCTGTCGAAGCACGCCGCCGTGGGCACGAGTGGTTGGATGGCGCATTCGTCATCATGCGAATGGGAGGCTCGGGCTCCCAGCATATTCTCATGGGCCCCACTTCGGGCTCCCATGCTGGCGCCCATCACACACGCAGTCGATACTGATCAGTGCGAGTTCGGGGCGGCCGCTTGTGCCCCTACTCGTTTTCTCGGCCTCCGGATGGAGCGCTTTGTGGATTGCCTCACCGACGCGCCGGGGCGAGGAACACGCTCGCACGGAAGGGGCGCACATCAGACCGCGAGGGGCTCCGAGAAGCAGAAATCGAGTCCAGTCCAGAAGATGTACCCGCCCTTGTTGTGCGCTGCCCTCGCGAGGTCCACGATGCTTACTATCAAGACCTTGTGGGACACCGACACTGACTCGTACCCGGAAGATTTGCTGGGCCCAGAGGATGCCCAAGCGGAGTTGTTGGCTTTCTACGTGGGTTGGGATCCATATGGGATTTCGTGGGCCCCTGACGTCGTCGACGCAGCTGGTCATTCTCGCAAGTGCCGTTGCGACCCTGAGAAGCATCTGTTCCGGGCGCCTGGCCCTGCCGTGGTCGATGAGCCTCTTGCCGAGACGTCCCCGGATGCCCTTACCGAGCAGGACGTGGCGGATGCCCTCGACGAAGCTGGTGTCGTACCTGATGTGCCTCCTCCGCTTGGACCTCCCCCGCCGGCCCTCACACCAGAGCAGCTGGGCCGCATCGCGGCCAACCGTGAGACGGCCCGTGCGAGGAGAGTCTCACGGCTCCAAGCGGTTCGCGCGGCACGCCATCAGGCCGTGGCCCCATGGGCGGGTCAAGGCTTACGGTTTTCATTTTAGTCACGATTGTTGTTTATTTGGGTACTGGCTGATGGACGCCAGGGCGGCTATTGAGATCGTGTCACTAATGTTCTTGGTACTTGCTTATTGCAGCCACGGTGTCGTGTAGTGTCCTCCTACGCGCTGGCAGCACTATGCGGCGAAGGTTTTCGGAACAGCCAACATGGAGGTAGCTGTGCAACTTTACGTGCCTGGCCGGAGGTGTGGTGACGTCTACCCGGCCGGCGGCGTGGCGACGTTAGATTGGTTCGTTTTCTTTTGTGGTATCTGACCCTCACGCTCACCTGCTGGTGATTTTGGGCGTACCGGCCTATCCGCGCGACAGAGGCCATGCAGCTTTGGATCGTTGTGAATGCTGTCGCAGCGGTGAGTGGGGCACCGACTCCGTGACATTTCACGGCCGCGGCACGTTCAGTTTCTATGACACTGCTCGCTCATACTGCACAGCTCCTTTCCTGGTTAGCGCATTGGGCTATCACACGTCGGCCTGACGTTAATTTCTGCTTCGCAGTCAAGCAGCGGCGCTCTTCCAGGTTTGGGTTTCGAGAGCATGCACCCGCATTCCTGATGGCTGATGGCATCGCTCAAGTACGCGACGCGCCGAGCTCGTGACATCTCAAGCCGTGGCGCCTCAATGGTCATTTTTGGATGTACCAGCCTATCCGCGACAAACGGCCTCCACGACATTCGTTCGTGTCCTCCGGGGCACTGTTCACAATGAGGCTGACGTTGCTCATGACATCGAAAGCTCCGGCAGAGCTGATGTACCACTGGATTTCCTAAACAAGATGTTGCAAGTTCCCCCTGCAGGGTTTCTGAAGCAGTCGTTGGTGCATTTTGTCTGCACCAATGCGGCGGTTCTGGTTGTCGACTCTGCCAAACAATGTGATGATCCTCCATTGGTGGTGACCTGCCAGATAATGAGCCGGACCAGCCTGCACGCATGATGGCGATGCGCTTTGCTGTATTTCTTCTCTGCTTCTCCCTCCTCCCTTCTCCTCCGCTGCTGGTTTCTGCCTCCCTCTCGCAGTCAGTTATTTGCTTCGCTTCAGAGGCTCACGCCTTTCCGTCGCCGCCCCTGCTCGTGGTCTGTGCCGGGCGGGCCTGGTGCCCCATGGCAAGCAGGGCTGGGTACCCTTCCACGCACTGAGGGGATGGCGTGCGGAATAAGAGTTACGTTGCCCCTGGCTCACCGGGTGTGAGCCATTCCCCCATCACGGCACGAGGACCGCCTCAATGCCCGATCCGACCGACCTCCTCCCCCCGCCCTTCCCTCAAAGAGGGAGAAGCGGCACAAGCATAAACCGTCAGTGCTCCGCGAGGATCTCTTGGATCGGCGCCTCTGGCGCCGCTCCTGGCGCGCTCCGCGCGCTAGGGATGGGGGTCGCGGATCCCAAAAACCGTGCGTTTATGCAATGGTTTCTTCTTCTATCATTCCGCCGACCCCCATTTGAGTAAACTCGTCAAGAGTCTTGTCACCGTGCCTGGCCTGTGGGTCAGGAGCCTCGAGGATGCAGATGAGGGCTTCCTGGAATGCCTCTCGGGGGTCTCGGAGGGCTCTTGGGGGCATCTGATTGGCTTTGGGGGTCCTCTCGGGGGCCTCTTGGCCCACGCTCATATTCCCCGTCCCTTCCCCCCGCCCTTTTTTCCCTCCCTTGCCCGACTCCCCCCCGCTCCCTCATCCTTCCCCATGTCGGGGACGAACACGCGGTTGCGACTCGCCGCCGATCTGCCGTCCCACGCGCGGCGGTCGCCGCGGAGGTTCGAGTTCGCGCCGAACCCGTATTTCGAAGAGGCAGTGTTGTCGAAGGAATACCACACCAAGGATAGCACTCCTTCCCCGAGACGAGAGGGGGATGGATGGAGGGAGGGAGGGAGGGAGGGAGGGAGGAGGAGGAGGAGGAAGAGGAGGCGATGTCCATGACGAAGACGAGGCACCATGTGGGAGGGAGGCCAGATCAGGGCGGAGAGGGGGCCCAAGATTCACCAACGATGCTGCAATACGCCCTCCCGTCCCGAGTCCCCTCTCCATCCGTCCCTGCATGCGTTCCTTGCTTCACTACAGGAGACGCCCCCTCGAAAGGCGAGCACCAGATGGGCCTGTCTTTTCAGGCGAAAGCCCCGCTTTGAGGAGGAGGAGGAGGAGGAGGAGGAGGAGGAGGAGGAGGAGGAGGAGGAGGAGGAGGACGGAGGAGGAGGAGGAGGAGGAGGAGGAGGAGGCTACGAGCGCCTGGAGCGCTCGGTAGCCTGTGTAAGAAAAGGAGGAGGAGGAGGCGACCAGCGGTTCAAGGAGACCGCCCGCCAGCTCGCCTCGGCTTGGGGTGGCATGCAGCCCCCCCTCACCGCCACCGCCGCCGCCGCCACCGCCGCCGCCGCCGTCATGAAGTGGGAGAGAGGGGAAGAGGGAAGAGTTGAGAAGGAGGATGAGGAAGGCGAAGGAGGAGGAGGAGGACCAGTCTAAACCCCACAGTCATCAACGGTGTTGGAATACACCCTCCCTCCAAGCTCCCTCTTCATAGTCCCCTGCAGCGGTTCATTTCCACTGAGGAAACTACCTCGTTTGAAGACAACCGTTTGAAGACCCTGAAGCATGCCAAAATATTGTTCTCGGGATTCCAACGCCACGGGTTAACCTGACTGCTGCGTTTTGGCGATCTGGAATCCTGCCAGAACGCCATTCCTGGGACTTCAGCACCGCGAATCAACTGTTGCACCCTCATAACCCGGAGTCCTTCCAAAACACCATTTCTGGTATGCCGATCATGGGGATCCGTGAAACTCTTGCAAATGTTTACAGCGAGTGAGGCGAGAGTGACATTTTGAAAAGGAGCCGGTTTCAATCCGTGAAACTTTTGCAATCAAGGAAAAAACGAATGTGCGCGGCGCTAAGGCGATAGCCACATTTTGAAAATGAATCGCCCTCAATCCGTGACGCTCTTGCAATCGTTTAAACGAATGTGTGCGGCGCTAAGGCGATAGCCACATTTTGAAAAGGAATCGCCCTCAATCCGTGACGCTCTTGCAGTATTTTCAACGAATGTGCGCGACGCTACGGCGAGAGCCACATTTGGAAAACCACCCGCCTTCCATCCGTGAAACTTGTTTAGCAATTCGTTTAAACGAATGTGCGCGGCGCCAAGGCGAGCTCCGCATTTTGAAAACGACCCGCCCTCAATCCGTCAAACTCTTGCAAGTTTTTCAACGAATGTGCGCGGCGCTAAGGCGAGAGCCACATTTTGAAAACGGCCCGCCCTCCATCCGTGAAGCTGTTCTTGTACATTGTTGCACCGGATGTGCGCGGCGCTACGGCGAGAGTCACATTCTGAAAACGACCCGCCCTCCATTCGTGAAACTGTTGCCACTTTTCAAGCTTCAGGGCCATAAATGGTGAGGACATCTCAGGCCAAACGCCCAGTTCGCCCTAAAAACTGTCCTCGGGGTAAGGAAAGGAGGAAGAGGAGGAGGAGGAGGAAGAGGAGGAGGAGGAGGAGGATCATGTAGGGTCGGAAGCTTCAGCGAGGTGTCCAGCGACAGTGTTTGAATGCTTCGCCTCCCCTGGTACATAGCTCCATTGGAGCTCCATTGGAAGAGTTCATATGCGAGAGACCCCAACGTGAAACGGAACCACCCTCCATCCGTACAGCTGTATATATCTAACGGGGGCCCTTGGGCTGAGACGACTATCAAACATAGATGTGCCGGAGGACCTGGCCCGTTCCAGCGGGCTTCAGATTGGCCCCCAGAGCGATAATATTGCTGTAAAGAGCTCCGAGTCACTCCCAGGACAATCTAGAGGGCTCTCAGCCCGCTCACGAGGCGGCTCAACCGGCCCAAGAGGCCTGTAAGAAGCCCCAAGACCTCTCCAATGGGACGAGGGCCCCTAGGCAAAAATCGTCCCATGCCTTAAGTTCCCCAAACAGCGCTTGCATTTAGGGTTCTTGCGTCTCTTCTAAGGTAACTGGGCCCCGGTGTCGGTCCGGCCCGCCTGTGGCCGTCCGTCGCCGCCATTTGCGCCGCCGCATTGCTTTGCATTGCGTTGCATTGCCTTGCATTGCGTTGCATTGCTTTGCATTGCCTTGCATTGCTTTGCATTGTGTTGCTTTGCTTTGTATTGTTTTGCATTGCTTTGTGCCATATAGATTAGGATTGCACCACCTAGATTGCACCGCATTGATTGCAACACCTGGATATCGCCGCATATTTTGTAATTTGATTCTGTTTTGGGTACACGCTGGCTAACATGAAGCATACACATTTGACATACTGGCTTTTTTGGTCTGCCCACCGTCCAGGACGACCCAAGTGGTTCCGAACATCGCCCAAGACGGCACAAGAGTCTCCCAAGAGGGCCCCAAGACGGCCCAAGAAGCACCAGGGACAGCCCAAGAAGGGCCCAGGAGAGCCAAGAGGGGCCCAAGAGAGGCAGTCCGAGCTGACACTTCGAGCCCCCCGCCCCAAGATGACCCCCGAGACCGCCGACGGGCCCCCAAGAGGACCCCAAGAGGCCCCACGATGCCCCAGGAGGCCCACAAGGGAGACCAGACAGGACCCCAAGAGGCCCAAGGGGCTTCAGAACTGCTTCTGAGAAGCTTCCGAAGGGCATTCGGGCCCTCCCGCTAGAAAGGTACCTACGATTCCCGACCGTGTCCCCCAAGAGCCCGCCAAAAAGCCTTCGGAAGCACGGATGACCCACTCAACAGGCCCCGAGAGACCCCAACGCACCCCAGGAGGCTTGTACACGAAAGCTTGTCAAGTATGACCCAAAGAGTCCCAAACCGCGCCGACGGAGAGGAGGACGAGGAGGACGAGGAGGAGGAGGAGGAGGAGGAGGAGGAGGAGAAGGACGAGGAGAGCGAAGAGGAGGAGGAGGAGGAGGAGGAGGAGGAGGAGAAGGACGAGGAGGAGGAGGAGGACGAGGAGGAGGGGTTCGAAGCTTTCTCGCTCGACGACGGCTTCGCTCTGGGCGTGCTCGGTGGGCAAAGAATTGTACGAGGTGGGAGGGGGGATGAGGGTGGAGTGGGCTGTTTTCAGCGATTACTGGACAATTCGGAGATTGCACTGGCAGCCTTTTACAGCCTTGGGTCATGCACTGCCTGATCCAACACATCTGCCGACGGCTCACGCATTCCATCAGGCTTAAGCATTTGGTCGATGAACACGCTCGAGCACAGCGTTATTAGAGCGATCATAGTGGCCAGACTGTCTACAGCACGACTTGGATGCAGCCGCCCCCCTCCACCCACAAGAGTAGTTACCTTGACATCGCTCGGACGTGTGCATTTTCCTCGGAGAGGCCAGCCCGAGAAAATCTGGACCATCTACGAGCATCTTGAAAGTCAAAAGTGCAAGAAGCCGAAACATGCAAGGGGAATGGACGTCCGAGCGATGGCACGCTGCCCATCACGCCGAGCATTCTCCGAGCAGTGCTCGCTCTAAGGGGCCGGCTGGCTCCTTCTGGCGCAATACGCCGTCGCCTCGCGGACCGTGACCGTGACGGTTTTGGCATGACCTGGACCGGCATGGCTTTCCAACGGGGTCAATGCAAACGGGGTTCAGCCAGAGCGCCCGATCTTGCAGGATCCTGCAGGGTCAGGGTCGCATTGACCCTGGTTTGGGTGCAGGATCCTGCAGGATCTTGCAGGATCCTTCGCATTGACCCGGGCTTGGGATTGGGTGCAGGATCCTGCAGGATTCTACAAGGCCTGACTGACCCAGGTCTGGATTGACCCGAATCAGAAGATTCCCGATACATACCAGGTCGGCCGTTGCCTGCTTGGGCCGCTGTGGCTTTGTCTCTAGCCTCTGCTGGGGGAACAAGCAATGACATACATGTAAATGCTCGGAGGCACGCGCGGATTTTTCGGATTGGCGCTGAACTCTCTTCCTTGCCCGCGGAGTTGTAGACGCGAATGCCGTGTAATTTACTACGGTGTATGGCTTCGGGGGCGCAGACATAATGTAAGTTAAGAGCGAGTGTGGCATTTGGGGTGAGCAGATCGTGCAATACAAAGAGTATGGCCTCGAGGACGTGAATCTAGTGTAATCTACAAAAGGGTTTATGGCTCCGGGGGATCATATATATATATATATATCATATATCATATATATTGTATTCTTTACAGAGGAAGGTGGCTTCGCGGACGCCAGTCCGTCGTAATTTATGCATTTGATTACCTCGGGGACGGACATATACATGAATTTTAAATGGATTATTGCCTCGGGGGTTGCTCGAATATAGCGTGACGTACGAGGGTTCATTGCGCCGGGGGCGCGATTGTCATGTATCTTTACGTGTCCCACGGCCCTGCAGGAATTCTGAGAATGTGATTTTGGGACGCTGACTGGATAGTTGTCGGCTGCCCTCTCGCGCGGGCAGCAACAATTTACAGTCGGAAGCAGAAAGCAGTGCTATAATATTAGAAATTTGAAGCTGGAACTGGTGCTGGGAGCAGCAAGCCTAATCCTCGCAGCCTGATGGCCCCACAAGGGGTCCAGCGGATATACTCCCACTCTGCCGCCTAGCTGGCAGATAGCGACCCCGAACTCGGGAGTGAGCACGGCAGGACCAATACGTGGCGCACATCGCGCGCGAGGCGGCGAAATGCCGTTCTTGCTCCAGCATTGCGCTGCCGCTCGGACCCAGCTCAAATTTCGCGCGCCAATGTGTGTCGACAGTGGGGTGCTGCGCAAGCATTCGAAATGCCGATCTCTCCTCGGCGCCGCGCGCAGGTTTCCCCCAAGTTGCGATACAGCTTGGGCGCGGCGCAGATTTTCGTCCGCCCAGTCGTCGCAAGCGGAGACGCGCGCGAGCGGGCGAAATGCGTCTCTTTCTCAAGTGCCGTGCAAATCTCTCAGCAAGTGGCGTTTCAGTTAGCGGGCGCCGCACACGTTTCGCCTTTGCCAGTCCTGCTGGAAACTGGGCCGCGCGCGGTGAGGCTGCATGGTGCTCTGGCTCCGCTCCCGCCTCTGCGCGGCCCATATTGTGAAGGCCTTGCGGCTGCAGGCGGGATCTCCCCCGGGACCCCCGCTGGCGGCCCTTCCCGGGACCCGCCGGGACCCTGGAGGAGGAGGAGGAGGAGGAGGAGGAGGAGGAGGAGGAGGAGGAGGAGGAGGAGGACCCGGGGGGGGGAGGGGCGAGGGTGTGTGGTGCTCGCTCTTGCTCCGCTCCCGCTCGTGCGCGGCACTTGCTCTTCCCTCGCCAGAGGTCGTCGGGTGCGGGGCCGCGCGCGTGCGCGCGCGAGGGCTTTTCGCCCATGAGGTGGGGACGCGCAGGCACGGGTGAAGTGTGGGGGTCAGGGGCAACGATGGTGGGGGAGGTCACAGGTCGACGAAGAAAAGACGCCACTGGCATAAACTTGTGGCGCCCCGCGCGGATTTCTTGGATCCGCGCTGGGCCCCTGGCGCGCTCCGCGCGCCCGGGAGGGGGGTCCAGCGCCGATCCGAGAAATCCGCGCGGACCTCAATCGCCCATTGATCGCCGATAAGGGCCCGGTGGCCCCAACCTGCCCAGGAGCGTGCGGACTCACCATCAGAGGCCTATCGCCGATGTGTCGGCGACGTATCGCCGATTCCAGGTCGACGTGTGCCCCCCTATGCCAGTCCCCCCCTCGTTGCTCCTCGGGGGGGCGGGCGGAGGCCGCCGATTCGAGCTCCAGGTCGCTACATTTGGGGGGCTCCCCCCATCCCGTCCCCATGTCCTCCTTCCTCGCTCCCTCCCATCCCCCCCTCTCCTTACTCGCCCTCCCGCTCCCTCCCCTTCCCCTCATCATCCTTTCTCGCTCCCTCCCTCCCAGAAAGTTTGCAGTGCGGCAGAATACGAATGGACATCTCAGGTGTTACGGTGGAGCCCTCAATGTGATTTACTATTGGGTGCAAGACGGCAACAGGGTCATCCGAAGAAACGGTGGTCGGATGATATTGTACATTACGCAGGGCCCGACTGGATTTCCAAAGCCCTCTCTGACAAATGGGAAATAGTTGAGGCAGCTTATGTAGGCAGGACGGCGCCTGACCCTTCTTATTTGTAGTATGTTTCATACTATAACGTAACATGTGCGCGTGTGTGTTGTTTGTTCATCTGTCTCACACTTGCCCGGTGCCACGGCGCCAGCCTGGGACGCCCCCGCCAGCGACAGCTGCAGGTCCGATGTCCGATGTCCCCTTTACCCCCTCCCTCCCCTGTCTCCTCCTCCCCCCCTCATCGGAATACCCCCTCAATCCGCTCTCCCCCTCCCCAAGTCTCCCCCATCCACCAGTCCAGTCTTCCCCTCTCTTCAGTCAGAGGCAGCGCGAGAGAGCTTCATTAACCCACGCTTCCTCGCGACGCTTGGGCGAGAAGCTGGCTGATCCAGGGAGGGGACTTCGCCCCAGAAGGCGACCACGACGACGACCACGACCACGGCCACTTCCACGACCACGACGACACCGGCGGCGGCGAAGGCGGCGGCGACGTCGACGGCGAGGATGACGGCCACGGCGATCAAGACGACCACGACGGCGACAGCCACGACGAGGAGGAGGGCCATGATGGCGGGGCAGGAACAGGGGCGCGCAGGAGAAATCGCCCTACACGGGCGAGACTGGGCTGACCGAGATCATCGCGTCCGACATCACTTGGAAGGCGTGGGCGCCCTCCTTTTCCTTGGCTTCCCCCATTTCTCTGTTAAGGTCGGCGTTGGAAAGATAGCGTGCGATGTGGCGACGCTGGCCCGCTTACAACACGCTATCCCCACCTCGGGGATAGCGTGCACCGAAGAAGCCCTGGCAGAGGACTAGCGCGCACAGAAGGATCATTCGCGGGGGGAAACGCCACCCACAGGGATAGGGTGCTAGTCGGAGAACGCTAACCGTACCCCTTCTCCCTCTGTCCTCCAGTCCTCTTCCTCTTTCTCGATGTCCTCCTCTTGCCAATCATGCTCCTCCGCTCCTCCCCTCGCACCCCTGTGCCTCCTCATATATCCGTACTGAGACTGAAGCCATAGGCCGTTGACTGTCGGACTTCCTCAAAGCATCTACATTGGGCTGGGTCAGGAGGAGAAAATACACGAGCACAAATAATCGTCGATTGCCAGAAACATATGGCATGATGGGAGAAATGGAGGGCAAGACGACGATCAAGAAAATATGGAAATATGCGGAATCCTGGGACCTGGGGGACCTGTGTATATTTATTTGCGTTTCCCTGGGCCCTTTCATGTGTCTTCTCTTCTCCTCCCACATTATCTTTGTCTCCTTCAGGTGGCCACCCGCAGCAATGCGGATTACGGGGCAGGCGGGGCGGGACGCCGCAGGATCCCAGCCCGCCTCCGGCAACTCTGCTACAGGTGGGGCCAGTGGAGCGGGATGCCAGGGGAGTTCAAGCAGCCACCGGTGCGACAGACGGGGCCACCTCCATAGAGCGATTTGCACTTCCCACTGTGCACCATTTCCTGCCCTCTCCTTCCTCTTCACTCCCTCGGTAGATATGCAGGGGGATCTGGGGCAGGGGGAGGAGGAGGAGCAGGAGGAGGAGGAGGAGGGAAGCGGAAGGAAGAGGAGGAGGAGGAGAAGGAGGAGGAGAAGGAGGAAGAGGAGGACGAAGGAGGAGGACGAGGAGGAGGAGGAGGAGTAGGATAAGGATGGGGAGGATCAGGATGAGGAGGAGTAGAAGGAGGAGGAGAAATAGGAGGAGACGTAGGGGGAGGAGGAGGAGGAGGAGGAGGAGGAGGAGGAGGAGGAGAAGGAGAAGGAGGGAGGAGGAGGGCGAGGAGGAGGAGGAGGACGACTGCCACGACGACTACGAGGAGCAGGAGGACGAGAGAGAGAGAGGAGGATGAGGCGGCAGAAGCAGAGCGTATTGAAATGGGAGAGAGGGGAAGAGGGAAGAGTTGAGAAGGAGGATGAGGAAGACGAAGGATGAGGAGGATGAAGAGGAGGACCAGTGTAAACCCAAGAGTCATCGACGATGTTGGAATTAACGCCTCCCTCCAAGCTCCCTCTTCATAGGCCCCTACGACAATTCATGTCCTTTGAGGGAACCGCCTGATGGGAGACAACCGTTTGAAGATCCTGAATCATGCCAAAACATTGGTTCTAGGAATTTCAGCGCCACGGATCAACCGGACTGCTGCGTCTTGACGATCTGGAATCCTGCCAACACCGCGAATCAACATAATTGTGGTTCCCGCATAATCCTGAATCCTTCCAAAACACCGCTTCTGGTACGATGATCATGGGAATCCGTGAAACTCTTGCAGCTTTCTAAAGCGAATGGGCGCGGCGCGAAGGCAAGAGCCACATTTTGAAAAGGAGCCGCCCTGAATCCGGACCAGTGTGCGCGGCGCCAAGGCGAGAGCCACATTTTGAAAACGACCCGTCCTCAATTCGTGATTCCCTACCTAGGCTCTGCCTAGAAGGGTTCTTACTCTCTAAGCTTAAAGGGGCCGGGCAGTGTAAAGCGCCTTCGGGCGGCCCCCCCCCCGGCATCCGCCCCGCGGTTCCCCCAGTTGCGTCCCCTTAGCTTAGCGTTGCTTGTCTCATCTTAGCTTAGCTTATTTCATCTTAACTCAGCGTTGCTTCATCTTGGCTCAGGTTTATCTTAGCTTAGCTTACCTTCATCTTAGCTTCGCTGAGCTTTAGCATAGCAGAGCACAGCTGAGCATAGCATAGCGTAGCGTAGCATAGCATAGCATAGCGCAGCACAGCATATCATAGCATAGCCCAGCATAGCATAGCATAGCGCAGCATAGCATAGCATAGCATAGCATAGCGCAGCACAGCACACCACAGCATAGCACAGCGCAGCATAGCATAGCATAGCAGAGCATAGCATAGCACAGCAGCCAATCAAAGGCAAAGCAACAGCAGCGACAGCAAAGCAAAGCAAAGGAAAGGCAAAGCAAAAGCAATGTGCGACAGATGCCGAGCTAGCCTCGATGGCCGGACCGGAGCCCCCGCAAGCAGGTTAGCTTAGCCTTTACCCCCTAGGCTCTGCCTAGAGGGTTAGCTTAGCTTAGCATAGCGCAGCGCTGCATTAGCATAGCATAGCATAGCATGACATTGCCAAGCATAGCATAGCATAGCATAGCACAGCGCATCCTAGCATAGAATAACATAACATAGCATAGCATATCATAGCATATCATAACTTATCATAGCATAGCATATCATAGCACAACATAGTATAACGCAGCTTAGCATAGCAAAACATAGCAAATCATAGCATAGCATAGCACAGCGCAGCATGCCATAGCATAGCTGAGCATATCATAACATAGCATAGCATAGCGCAGCACATCATATCATAGCATAGCATAACGCAGCACAGCATGTCACAACATAGAGTCGCATAGCATAGCATATCATAGCAACTAATGCTGCTTTCCTAGGGGCTCCAACTTCTAGGTACGGCCTCACTGGGGTAATTCTTCAAATGTTCAAAAACAAATGTGCGCGGCGCTAAGGCGAGAGCCACATTTTGAAAGCCACCTGCCCTCAATCCGTGCAATTTGTTCGGAGTTTTTGAAACCAATGTGCGCGGCGCTCAGGCGAGAGCCACATTTCGAAAACGATCCGCCCTCCATCTGTGAAGCTGTTGTCTTTTTGAGCTTCAGAATCGTAAATGGTGAGGAAGTCTCAGGCGAAACGCCCGGCCCGCCTTAAAAGCTTGCCTCGGGGTGCGACAAGGAGATCATAGGAATGGAGGGTGAGGAGGAAAGGGAGCACGTGGAAGAGGACCTTCGGGCCCCGCCGCCGAGCCCGCGCGGCGCGCGGAGGCCGGCAAGGACGTCACCGTGGAGGCGGGGCCTGGCCCGAGCCGCGCCGCGCGCGGCCCGCCCTCTTTCCCCCCTTCCCCCCCTCCATCGTCCTTCTCCCCGTGCTCCTCACTCTCATGGTGCACTCAGCTCGAGCGAGTTCGTCAAGCTGATGATAGCCAACGGAGTCGACAAGTCCGTGGCCCGATATCTGCGTCGATGGTCACGCTCATGGAGTACAATTGATTGCCAGTCGGACCCATGGGGTGGGCGCAGTTGGGTAGCAACGCCAAGCGTGATTACTGGACGTTTTCAAGTGTCGAAGCGTTGTTGGGCGGCTCCTACAGGCAGTTCGTGCAGGCCTTCGACCAGTCGGTGGAGCTCGACCTGTCGCAAGGCGCCGCTCGGCACCAGCACGGCGAAGGAATGGAGGACGGAGTCGATCTCAGCTGCCTCAGGCGCTTCATCAAGCAGCTTGGGCGACCCTCCTGCGGCCACATCCTGCAGCAGGTGATGATCACCACTGCGGTCGGAGGTTCCTGGACAGCGGAGAGGAGAGCCAGCGCGAGGTTCACGAACGACGAGGACAGTGGAGTTTATTGCCCAAGGTGTGGGCATGAGGTCGAGGCCGACTTCCATCGTGCCTGGGGCTGCGAGTGCAACGGAGGGTCCAAGGGGTACGACGCGAGCGTGAAGTATCTTCCTCGGGCCCAGGTCGAAAATGAGTCAGTCCCCTATTTCTGGCTTCGCGGCCTGGTCCCACGTGCGTGGACGGCAGTCACCCCGCTAGCCGACCTCGAGCAGTGGGCAGCTTCCGGCACGCATCACGGCAGGCTCGACTCCGGCCAGGGCACGAAGGAGGAATTGTTGGTCATCTTCGGGGACGCGAGCGGGGTCCCCGAGTAAGTGCGCACGAACATGCGGAGGGTCGGTGTGGGCATCGCCATATTGGACGACGACGAGGGTGAACGCAGCCATCCACGGTCCCCTCCCAGGGCGACGGCACGTTGTGCATTGAGGCGAGTTTTAGGGGTTCGTTCTACGGATCGAATGCAGCAGCGGCGTCGTCACGTATGTCACGGGCAACTTGGCCGTCCACAGCGGTTGGTGCAAAGAGTGGGACCAGCGGCCCCAAGGGCCCGACATGGCATTGTGGTGGCACTTGGGCCAGCCGGTGCGTGATCGAGGGTGCGATAACATCACGGTGATCCAAATCAAGTCGCACTTGGAGGCGGAGGGCGTTGTTCAGCGTGGCGTGGGTCCCAGGTTGGTTCGTGGCAGCGCAGCAGCTGGCGATGTCGCTGGGCACGCTGAGTTGACCTCGCGGAGAGGGCGCGTGGCGAAGGTCGAGGCCATTTCGGTCGCAGTCTGGCGGAGGCGTCTTCGTTCCACCCTCGACGCCATGGAAGCGGAGCCCTGCAGACGACCCACGAGAAGCCCGCGACGGGCCCCTCCAGCGGCCGGTGCAGTCGTCATGTTCACCTCGACCCACGTGCTCGGGAACGACGGTAGGACGCGACAGAAATGCTGCCAGTCGGCATCGGGCGAGAGGCGCGCAGCGTGGTTGCAGGACCCGTGCTGGCCGCTTGTGAGGAGGAGGAGGCAGAACTTGCTTGTGCGGGGCCCAGCTGCGCCGCCAATTCAGATAGGCGGTGCAGTTGCCCGCGAGACCCGCAACATGGAGGTCGAAACATCGTCGGTGGTCTGGTTCTGTGCGGGCGGCGGTTTCTTCCGTCCTTCTTGTGCGTGGACTACGACGGCAGTGTCCGATTGCCGACGGCCGCCCGCGTGCTCCGACTGGGGCCGAGTACCTGCGTCGGATCCATAGAGGACCGTGGCCCAAGGCAGGCGACAGAGGCAAGTTCGGCAGAGGGCAGGGCCCCGACCTCGGAGACGCCAGCAACGAGAGCCAGGAGGTAGCGCTGCTCAGCGATCGAGCACGCCCCCGCCAGAGGGTGCCAGCCTTCGGATCCACCAGCACCAGGCAGCGCTGGACAGGAGGCATGCACTTCTCAGCGGGGCGCACAACCCCCGCCAGTGAGCGCCAGCCTACCCGATTCTCCCGCGCCACGTAGCACTACGCGGAGCGCGAAGAACCGCGCTGCGCGACCTTCGAGGGCGCCCAGGAGGCGACGTGGCAGTCATGGGCAGCTGGGAGACCACAAGGCATCCTAGAAAGCCAGGGGCTCTGGGGCCAGCAGGTGCCCACTCGCTCCCCCCAGCGTCTGCCCCTCGAGTCGGTTTTCTCGTGTTTCGTGGTTTCGCGCAGCAGGGGCCGCTTTTTTGTTTGTGCGTGTTTTTGTTGGAGGGGGAGGGCGCAGAGCCAGGGCGGGCGCGAGCTGCGCGAGAGGGGGCGTTCAGCAAGCGGTCGAGATCAGGCCAAGCAGAGCGAGCTCGCCAGTGGGGCCCAGCAGACCGACCTCGCCAGAGCAGCGGGCCAAGTCTCGCGACCCCCGTGGAGGCCGCTTCGGGCGCGAGGATCTCGCAGGACGAGGAGTCGGTCCCCAGTGAAGATGGCCCAGTCGCCGCAGACCCAGGAGCGGCTGCAGGCGGCCCGCCAGCGTGGGCCAGCAGCAGCGGGGGCGGGGCAAGGTCCGCGGCTCCTCGCGGCGACGGGACGGGGTCAAGGCCGAGAGGACAGGAATGGCCGTCACCATCGGCGCA